GTCTCATCAATCTGTCATTCATGTGTCATAAATCTCTCATACATATGTCTCATAAATCTCATACATGTCTCATAAATCTCTCATACATGTCTCATCAATCTGTCATTCATGTGTCATAAATCTCTCATACATGTGTCTCATAAATCTCTCATGCATGTCTCATAAATCTCATACATGTGTCTCATAAATCTCTCATGCATGTCTCATAAATCTCATACATGTGTCTCATAAATCTTTCATACATGTGTCTCACAAATCTCTCATGTGTCTCAAATCTCTCATACATGTCTCATAAATCTCTCATTCATGTGTCTCATAAATCTCATACATGTTTCTCATAAATCTCATACATGTGTCTCATAAACGGTATGGTAACAGGGCTACGGTAAGAGGTGGTACAGTAAGAGGTGGTACAGTAAGAGGGGGTACATTAAGAGGGGGTACAGTAACACGTAGAACAATAAGATGGGGTACAGTAAGAGGGGTACAGTAAGAGGGGGTACAGTAACACGTAGAACAGAAAGATGAGTTGCGGTAAGAAGGGGTACAGTAAGAGGTGGTACAGTAAGAGGGGGGTACAGTAACACATAGAACAGAAAGATGGGGTGCGGTAAGAGGTGGTACAGTAAGAGGGGGGTACAGTAAGAGGTACTACAGTAAGAGGGGGTACAGTAACAGGTGGTACAGAAAGAGGTGGTACAGTAAGAGGGGGTACAGTAACAGGTGGTACAGTAACAGGTGGTACAGTAACAGGTGGTACAGTAAGAGGGGGTACAGTAACAGGTGGTACAGTAACAGGTGGTACAGTAGCAGGTGGTACAGTAACAGGTGGTACAGTAACAGGTGGTACAGTAACTGGTGGTACAGTAAGAGGGGGTACAGTAACAGGTGGTACAGTAACAGGTGGTACAGTAGCAGGTGGTACAGTAACAGGTGGTACAGTAACAGGTGGTACAGTAAGAGGGGGTACAGTAACAGGTGGTACAGTAACAGGTGGTACAGTAACAGATGGTACAGTAACAGGTGGTGCAGTAACAGGTGGTACAGTAACAGGTGGTACAGTAACAGGTGGTACAGTAACAGGTGGTACAGAAACAGGTGGTACAGTAACAGGTGGTACAGTAAGATGTGGTACAGTAACAGGTGGTACAGTAACAGGTGATACAGTAACAGGTGGTACAGTAAGAGGTGGTACAGTAAGAGTTGGTACAGTAAGAGGTGGTACAGTAAGAGGGGGTACAGTAACAGGTGGTACAGTAACAGGTGGTACAGTAACAGGTGGTACAGTAAGATGTGGTACAGCAACAGGTGGTACAGTAACAGGTGGTACAGTAAGATGTGGTACAGTAACAGGTGGTACAGTAACAGGTGGTACAGTAACAGGTGGTACAGTAAGATGTGGTACAGTAACAGGTGGTACAGTAACAGGTGGTACAGTAACAGGTGGTACAGTAAGATGTGGTACAGTAATAGGTGGTACAGTAACAGGTGGTACAGTAACAGGTGGTACAGTAAGATGTGGTACAGTAATAGGTGGTACAGTAAGATGTGGTACAGTAAGATGTGGTACAGTAATAGGTGGTACAGTAACAGGTGGTACAGTAAGATGTGGTACAGTAATAGGTGGTACAGTAATAGGTGGTACAGTAACAGGTGGTACAGTAACAGGTGGTACAGTAACAGGTGGTACAGTAAGATGTGGTACAGTAATAGGTGGTACAGTAACAGGTGGTACAGTAACAGGTGGTACAGTAACAGGTGGTACAGTAAGATGTGGTACAGTAATAGGTGGTACAGTAACAGGTGGTACAGTAACAGGTGGTACAGTAACAGCTGAAGGTAGGTTCAGGAATTTCACAATGTAATTTGGCTTCGTTTTAATTTCACAGTTAAACTTTGTCAGCACCGTTCGTTTATTTTATGTCGTTAATATTGTTGTTGTTGTTATTTGATGTTGTAGTTATTATTTAATGTTGTAGTTATTGTTATTTTATGATGTTAAAGATGTAGTTGTTGTTTTTGATGATAAGTGGTAATACAGTCAGTGATGATACTGTATTAATACAGTGATGATACTGTGTTAATACATTGATGATACTGTGTTAATACAGTGATGATACTGTGTTAATACAATGATGATACTGTGTTAATACAATGATGATACTGTGTTAATACATTGATGATACTGTGTTAATACAGTGATGATACTGTGTTAATACAATGATGATACTGTGTTAATACAATGATGATACTGTGTTAATACATTGATGATACTGTGTTAATACAGTGATGATACTGTGTTAATACAATGATGATACTGTGTTAATACAGTGATGATACTGTGTTAATACAATGATGATACTGTGTTAATACATTGATGATACTGTGTTAATACAGTGATGATACTGTGTTAATACATTGATGATACTGTGTTAATACAGTGATGATACTGTGTTAATACATTGATGATACTGTGTTAATACATTGATGATACTGTGTTAATACAGTGATGATACTGTGTTAATACATTGATGATACTGTGTTAATACAGTGATGATACTGTGTTAATACAATGATGATACTGTGTTAATACAATGATGATACTGTGTTAATACATTGATGATACTGTGTTAATACAGTGATGATACTGTGTTAATACAATGATGATACTGTGTTAATACAGTGATGATACTGTGTTAATACAGTGATGATACTGTGTTAATACAATGATGATACTGTGTTAATACAGTGATGATACTGTGTTAATACATTGATGATACTGTGTTAATACAGTGATGATACTGTGTTAATACAGTGATGATACTGTGTTAATACAGTGATGATACTGTGTTAATACAATGATGATACTGTGTTAATACAATGATGATACTGTGTTAATACATTGATGATACTGTGTTAATACAGTGATGATACTGTATTAATACATTGATGATACTGTGTTAATACATTGATGATACTGTGTTAATACATTGATGATACTGTGTTAATACAGTGATGATACTGTGTTAATACAATGATGATACTGTGTTAATACATTGATGATACTGTGTTAATACAGTGATGATACTGTGTTAATACAATGATGATACTGTGTTAATACAATGATGATACTGTGTTAATACATTGATGATACTGTGTTAATACAGTGATGATACTGTATTAATACATTGATGATACTGTGTTAATACATTGATGATACTGTGTTAATACATTGATGATACTGTGTTAATACAGTGATGATACTGTGTTAATACAATGATGATACTGTGTTAATACAATGATGATACTGTGTTAATACATTGATGATACTGTGTTAATACAGTGATGATACTGTATTAATACATTGATGATACTGTGTTAATACATTGATGATACTGTGTTAATACATTGATGATACTGTGTTAATACAGTGATGATACTGTGTTAATACAATGATGATACTGTGTTAATACAATGATGATACTGTGTTAATACATTGATGATACTGTGTTAATACAGTGATGATACTGTATTAATACATTGATGATACTGTGTTAATACATTGATGATACTGTGTTAATACAGTGATGATACTGTGTTAATACAATGATGATACTGTGTTAATACAATGATGATACTGTGTTAATACATTGATGATACTGTGTTAATACAGTGATGATACTGTGTTAATACAATGATGATACTGTGTTAATACAATGATGATACTGTGTTAATACAATGATGATACTGTGTTAATACAATGATGATACTGTGTTAATACAGTGATGATACTGTGTTAATACAGTGATGATACTGTGTTAATACATTGATGATACTGTGTTAATACAATGATGATACTGTGTTAATACAGTGATGATACTGTGTTAATACAGTGATGATGCTGTGTTAATGTAGTGATGATACTGTGTTAATACAATGATGATACTGTGTTAATACAGTGATAATGCTGTATTAATACAGTGATGATACTGTGTTAATACAATGATACTGTGTTAATACAATAATGATACTGTGTTAATACAATGATGATACTGTGTTAATACAATGATGATACTGTGTTAATACAATGATGATACTGTGTTAATACATTGATGATACTGTGTTAATACAGTGATGATGCTGTGTTAATGTAGTGATGATACTGTGTTAATGTAGTGATGATTCTGTGTTAATGTAGTGATGATTCTGTGTTAATGTAGTGATGATTCTGTGTTAGTGTAGTGATGATTCTGTGTTAATACATTGATGATACTGTGTTAATACAGTGATGATTCTGTGTTAATGTAGTGATGATACTGTGTTAATGTAGTGATGATTCTGTGTTAGTGTAGTGATGATACTGTGTTAATACATTCATGATACTGTGTTAATACAGTGATGATTCTGTGTTAATGTAGTGATGATACTGTGTTAATGTAGTGATGATTCTGTGTTAGTGTAGTGATGATTCTGTGTTAGTGTAGTGATGATTCTGTGTTAATGTAGTGATGATACAGTGAACGATGATAGTCACTGATGATATAGTCACTGAGTGCCTCACATCAACACATCAGAAGCTTGCAGTGTTCAGAATATATATATATATATATATATATATATATATATATATATATATATATATATATATATATATATATACTAGATTATTAGAAAACAGTTTGATGGATTAGTAAATTTATTATATTGCAATAAATTGCAGATGTAGTTAATTACAGACTCTTCAAGAGGAATGAAGGCTCTTAATCAAAGGATTTAGAGCTAGCTTTTCCATTATTAAATTAACCTTATTAACTCTCATTCACCACACTCTGTAGAGCCCCTGCCGCTTTAGCGCTTACCAAGAATAGTAATAAAAATTCTTGAATCTGAATTTATATCTTCAGATATTTTTTTATCATTGGTGAATATGAGGAGGTAGTGGGTGAAGGTGAGTGTTGTTTGTGTCATTCATACTCAGTAATTATTTTCATTGTGGGCAGACGGAGCACGGGGTGAACACTAGCACGTCACAGGTGACGGTCACTGCGTCACGGAGTCATCACGGTCAGCGTCTGACGTGTACGTCCATCAACCCACTCTTCCCGGCCCAGCCACTCACAGACTCCATTCTTCTTAACGTTACATGTGAGTGCTAACACCCGTATCTTAATTATATATATATATATATTATATATATATATATATATATATATATATATATATATATATATATATATATATATATATATATATATATATATATATATATATATATATATATATATGCAAAACAACCACTGTGAAAGAGTAGTGAAATTCCAAGCGCTTTCGTGACTACTCACATTGTCAAGGAACTATGAAAGTAATACATCAAAGGAAGGCAATAAAAGGGCTTAGACCACACCTCACAGTCAACTCCCACAGGTGTTTCTTTGTTGTGGGAGTTGACTGTGAGGTGTGGTCTAAGCCCTTTTATTGCCTTCCTTTGATGTATTACTTTCATAGTTCCTTGACAATGTGAGTAGTCACGAAAGCGCTTGGAATTTCACTACTTTTTCACAGTGGTTGTTTTGAATAATTTAAAATCACCTGTTTACTGTGATTTTATTGCATATATATATATATATATATATATATATATATATATATATATATATATATATATATATATATATATATATATGCAAGGAATTCGCAAGAGCAGGCGAAATATACACAAAACACTGTATATTTCGCTGTATATTTCGCCTGCTCTTGCGAATTCCTTGCATTGTTAATATCTCTAGTAAGGCTGATGCATGCAGGGATGAGATGAAAAGCTGTAAGCCTTCTCCTTGAAAGCTGGCTGCCTTGGATCAAAGTCTAGCGCAAGCTGGACTCCAAGGTATTGGTCCAGTGTGGGTAGATTGGTAAAGCACTGCGAACCTTGTTCCAAGGTTCGTAGGTTCAAGTCTTCTTCAGCCAGAGATTAGTGTTTGTATATATATATATATATATATATATATATGTATATATATATATATATATATATATATATATATATTTATATATATAATATATATATATATATATATATATATATATATATATATATATATATATATATATATATGTCGTGCCGAATAGGCAGAACTTGCGATCTTGGCTTAAATAGCAACGTTCATCTTGCCATATAGGACAAGTGAAAATTTGTGTATGCAATAATTTCGCCAAAATCATTCTGAACCTAACCAAAAAAATATATTTTACTGTGTTTGTTTAGTATTAAATTATTGTAAACAAATCTAAAATATATTTAGTTAGGTTAGGCTAAAATAAATTGCTCTTGTTATAATAAGATTAGGTAAGTTTTCTAAGACTCTTTTGGTGCAAAATTAAAAAAAAATTACATTAACATTAATGAAAAATATATATCTTTATACGTATAAGAGAAAATTTCAGAAAGGACTTAATTTTAAATGAGTTCTTGCTAATTGACCAGTTTTACATATTCGGCACGACATATATATATATATATATATATATATATATATATATGTGTGTGTGTATTTTTTTTTTCCAACAAGTCGGCCGTCTTCCACCGAGGCAGGGTGACCCAAAAAAGAAAAAATCCCCAAAAAGAAAATACTTTCATCATCATTCAACACTTTCACCACACTCGCACACTATCACTGTTTTTGCAGAGGTGCTCAGAATACAACAGTCTAGAAGCATACACATATAAAGATACACAACATATCCCTCCAAACTGCCAATATCCCAAACCCCTCCTTTAAAGTGCAGGCATTGTACTTCCCATTTCCAGGACTCAAGTCCGACTATATGAAAATAACCGGTTTCCCTGAATCCCTTCACTAAATATTACCCTGCTCACACTCCAACAGATCGTCAGGATATTATATATATATATATATATATATATATATATATATATATATATATATATATATATATATATATATATATATTATCACATCTGGCCGATTCCCACCAAGCCAGGGTGGCCCGAAAAAGAAAAAACTTTCACCATCATTCACTCCATCACTGTCTTGCCAGAAGGGTGCTTTACACTACAGTTTTTAAACTGCAACATTAACACCCCTCCTTCAGAGTGCAGGCACTTTACTTCCCATCTCCAGGACTCAAGTCCGGCCTGCCGGTTTCCCTGAACCCCTTCATAAATGTTACTTTGCTCACACTCCAACAGCACGTCAAGTATTAAAAACCATTCGTCTCCATTCACTCCTATCAAACACGCTCACGCACGCCAGCTGGAAGTCCAAGCCCCTCGCACACAAAACCTCCTTTACCCCCTCCCTCCAACCTTTCCTAGGCCGACCCCTACCCCGCCTTCCTTCCACTACAGACTGATACACTCTTGAAGTCATTCTGTTTCGCTCCATTCTCTCTACATGTCCGAACCACCTCAACAACCCTTCCTCAGCCCTCTGGACAACAGTTTTGGTAATCCCGCACCTCCTCCTAACTTCCAAACTACGATTTGTAGATGAATGGTTCAGAGAACCGACATGTTGATAAATTAGACACATGTGCAACTCTTGGGTATCTTTATTGAGGAAACGTTTCGCCACACAGTGGCTTCATCAGTCCATACAAAGGAGAATCTTGAAGAACAGGAGGAGAATGAGGTAATCAGTCCCTCAACCTTGAGTCGATGTGGTCAGTCCATCAATCTTGAATAGAATACGGCATAGGTCGTGCCCAAGAATTAGGCAAGCGAAGAATTCCCAAGTATTAAGATCCCAAGAAGTTGCAGTGTCTGCAGGTTTGTAGATGAATGGTTCAGAGAACCGACATCTACAAACCTGTCAGACACTGCAACTTCTTGGGATCTTAATACTGGGAATTCTTCGCTTGCCTAATTCTTGGGCACGACCTACTTCAACATTGAACAAATGTTACACGACCTATGACTTCTGCACCTCTCCTGCCAACGGTTATAAGCTCCTTCTCAGCACGTATGCCGTATTCTATTCAAGATTGATGGACTGACCACATCGACTCAAGGTTGAGGGACTGATTTTCCTCATTCTCCTCCTGTTTTTTCAAGATTCTCCTTTATATGGACTGATGAAGCCACTGTGTGGCGAAACGTTTCCTCAATAAAGATACCCAAGAGTTGCACATGTGTCTAAAATTATCAACATGTCGGTTCTCTGAACCATTCATCTACAAACCTGTCAGACACTGCAACTTCTTGGGATCTTAATACTTGGGTAATTCTTCGCTTGCCTAATTCTTGGGCACGACCTACTTCAACATTGAACAAATGTTACACGACCTATGACTTCTGCACCTCTCCTGCCAACGGTTTATAAACTCCTTCTCAGCACGTATGCCGTATTCTATTCAAGATTGATGGACTGACCACATCGACTCAAGGTTGAGGGACTGATTACCTCATTCTCCTCCTTTCTTCAAGATTCTCTTTGTATGGACTGATGAAGCCACTGTGTGGCGAAACGTTTCCTCAATAAAGATACCCAAGAGTTGCACATGTGTCTAATTTATCAACATGTCGGTTCTCTGAACCATTCATCTACAAACCTGTCAGACACTGCAACTTCTTGGGATCTTAATACTTGGGAATTCTTCGCTTGCCTAATTCTTGGGCACGACCTACTTCAACATTGAACAAATGTTACACTACCTATGACTTCTGCACCTCTCCTGCCAACGGTTTATAAGCTCCTTCTCAGCACGTATGCCGTATTCTATTCAAGATTGATGGACTGACCACATCGACTCAAGGTTGAGGGACTGATTACCTCATTCTCCTCCTGTTCTTCAAGATTCTCCTTTGTATGGACTGATGAAGCCACTGTGTGGCGAAACGTTTCCTCAATAAAGATACCCAAGAGTTGCACATGTGTCTAATTTATCAACATGTCGGTTCTCTGAACCATTCATCTACAAACCTGTCAGACACTGCAACTTCTTGGGATCTTAATACTTGGGAATTCTTCGCTTGCCTAATTCTTGGGGGACGACCTACTTCAACATTGAACAAATGTTACACGACCTATGACTTCTGCACCTCTCCTGCCAACGGTTTATAAGCTCCTTCTCAGCACGTATGCCGTATTCTATTCAAGATTGATGGACTGACCACATCGACTCAAGGTTGAGGGACTGATTACCTCATTCTCCTCCTGTTCTTCAAGATTCTCCTTTGTATGGACTGATGAAGCCACTGTGTGGCGAAACGTTTCCTCAATAAAGATACCCAAGAGTTGCACATGTGTCTAATTTATCAACATGTCGGTTCTCTGAACCATTCATCTACAAACCTGTCAGACACTGCAAAATTCTTGGATCTTAATACTTGGGAATTCTTCGCTTGCCTAATTCTTGGGCACGACCTACTTCAACATTGAACAAATGTTACACGACCTATGACTTCTGCACCTCTCCTGCCAACGGTTTATAAGCTCCTTCTCAGCACGTATGCCGTATTCTATTCAAGATTGATGGACTGACCACATCGACTCAAGGTTGAGGGACTGATTACCTCATTCTCCTCCTGTTCTTCAAGATTCTCCTTTGTATGGACTGATGAAGCCACTGTGTGGCGAAACGTTTCCTCAATAAAGATACCCAAGAGTTGCACATGTGTCTAATTTTCCAAACTACGAATTCTCTGCATTATATTCACACCACACATTGCCCTCAGACATGACATCTCCACTGCCTCCAGCCTTCTCCTCGCTGCAACATTCATCACCCATGCTTCACACCCATATAAGAGTGTTGGTAAAACTATACTCTCATACATTCCCCTCTTTGCCTCCAAGGACAAAGTTCTTTGTCTCCACAGACTCCTAAGTGCACCACTCACCCTTTTCTCCTCATCAATTCTATGATTCACCTCATCCTTCATAGACCCATCCCCTGACACGTCCACTCCCAAATATCTGAATACATTCACTTCCTCCATACTCTCTCCCTCCAATCTGATATCCAATCTTTCATCACCTAATATTTTTGTTATCCTCATAACCTTACTCTTTCCTGTATTCACTTTTAATTTTTTTCTTTTGCACACCCTACCAAATTCATCCACCAATCTCTGCAACTTCTCTTCAGAATCTCCCAAGAGCACAGTGTCATCAGCAAAGAGCAAC